TACATACATGCTCTTATTCTCTTAAATGTCATTACATTTTATTATTTCTATCTTTATTGTGAATATAAACGCAAAAATCACTGGACAGATAGAGGAAGTAGCCGAAGCTAAAGTAATTTTTACGTCAACATGAATTTAATAGAAATGTGTAATTTTTGCGCTAAAGTATTAATTTATCAGAACAATACAGTGTAATGATACTGTGGACTTATTCATAAAATGATATAATGTATTTTAAAAACTGAATGTTTCCTTACATCTAAATAAGAAAACCAGCCTGCTATTATATAAAAATTGCATGTAGTTGAGTGTAACATTGAAAATGTTCACCCCAAAAAAGCATTGTCAACTAAGGCGCAGCCGAGATTGACAATGGTTTTCTTGCGGTGAAAATTTTCGATGTTACACTCAACTACATGCAATATTTACTATACATGTATTATACTGAAAGTTTTATACAAATACATATAACAGTGAACTGTGTGCGCATAAATTCTGCGAGTCGCTATTTTTTGGAATATCACCCGTCGTCAAGCACTGTTGACTGTTGCTACGCTGAAGGGCGTGGCTTTATTATTTAGCGGGTAATAGTGTTTTTTAACAAATGTTTCTCGACCAATCAGATTCAACTAATTTACATGAAAGTATAATATTTGTAATTGTTAGCCTGTCTTAGCTTTGTTCTATTTCCTATAAATAAGTTTCCTACTATTGATTAATATACTCTGTGTGAATGGATTATGCCATTTATAAGAGACTGAAATTTGGTTTTGTTTCTCATTTTTTTTAAAGAGTTGTTCTTCCTTAAACAATGACATCACGCTACGTTAGAAATTGGAAATTTTATTTTTAAATCCAAAACACAGTATAAGTATACCGGGTATTCTAAGTTTATAAAACATTTAAGGAAAAATCATTTATTTGACAAAACCAAAAAAAAAGAATATGAAAATTTTGATTTACAATTTTCAGTTTTAAATATATTATATATCTTTATGTATCTTTATTTAAAAGATGATTATGAATATCAAAATTATATTGGATTTGGAAGTTTTTTTTTCAAAACACAAAGGCTTGCTATAGTATTTTGCTCATAGAAGTGAAGGAACACTTCATTTTTTATGAAGAAGTGGATTTGGAATATCCTTTCCTCAATCAATAATTGCCACATTCTCGTGTCCACCTTGGGAATGCGTATGTAACGTGGCTCTTAAAAATACGGAAAAAATTAAATTGTATTCGGATAAATATTTTAAAACCTTTATCAAGGATCCTTTAGTTTAATTATATCATAATTCTATAGACAATTTTTTTTAGATTTTATTCCGGCATTAAAAAATATCAAGATATAAATGAAAACAAGAAAAAAACGAAAAGTTATAGTTTTTGATTTTCATGTATAACACAAAACTAGAGTAACTGTTCTAAAAATAATAAGGAATATAACGACATTGTTTTCTGGCAGTCGAAATGATGTGATATATATTTTTGGTCTCTAAAATTTAATTGAATTTGAGAAAAAAAATCATTCTTATCATATATACTGAAGCTTATAATTATATGCATTCCATTTAAGTAAACTTTTACCATAACTGGTATATATAGTGATCGGGATGTATGTACATGTACGTCTCTCTGTATTCCCGTTAGTCCGTTACGCTTTGGGGTACCTATCTCTTATCCGCAACTCCTCTTAAACACTGGATGAAATTTGAATGAGACTTTCATAGAATTTTTACTACATAATGTCATTGTGCACCTCCCATTTTACTTTTTGATCGAATACATATTTTAGGTTCCCCATAGCAAAACATTGAAACTGTCATATTTTCTGTAATAGTGAAGGGTACCCATCTCTTATCCGAAACTCTTTAATAAAATTAAATTATGCTTTCTAAGATTCTTTATTTCATAATGCCATTGTGCACCTCCTATTTTACGTTTTAATTTGACACGTATTTCAGGTCTTCAAGAGCAAAACATGGGCTTTGCCATTATAATCATATGGGAGGCGTAGGTTTCATTTTTTGAGCTCAGCGCTCACAGCACCTCTAGTTTTATCATTAGTAATATGCTAATTTCTATTAGGACACTCATTAGTTATATGCAATTTTATGACTGTCAAATTACTTTTGAGATATTGGTTTTATACAGTACTTATACATGTTTAATATATACGTTTATATAGAAATGATTTAACATTTTAATAGTCATATTCTACATCGTATGCAAATATTAAAAAGGTACTGGTATGATATTATGACAAATTTTTGCAAACTTAATAATGTAAATATTTTAACAAACATGAAATATGAATTAGCCATACGTTCCTAGCAAGAAAATGAGAAGAAAACTATTGCTTAAGGAAAGATAACTCCAAATTTACTTAAAATAATTTCCTGTAACAAACTTTCTCTTTCCAACTTGATAATTAAATTCCTATTTCCAACGTGATCATGACAGATATGTTAAAAGGTTATAATATCACATATGCATCAAGCTTAAAATCATCCCTCACATTGATCATTTTCCCTACTCTTTAACATATAACCCTCAGAATTTGACCATTGGTTATTTTGTATATCTGTTGACAAAAACATGTTTTATGGAAAAGGTGACAGTCGGATGCTTACTTCTAGAACTGGTGTACCATATGCATGGTTTGTTTTGTTTAGAGGATTTATTTAATTGATTAAAGTTCATCACCATGACTTTTTTTTAAAAATGAGATAATGTCAAAATTAGAAATGTAACTTTTAAAATACCATTTGAATGTAACGCATGATAAAAATAGTTTGAGGAAGGACAATGTCAAATTTTGTAGTCACGTTTCCTCATTTTAGCTCCAATGAATGATGAAATCCGACACATTATTGTACTTATCGATAATTAGAAATTATTTTATGGGTATGAAACTGAAACCAGAGGTACTATAAGCACTGAGCGCACTAAATGATACGCCTCTCATATGATGATTACAGACCACTTGGATGTCATTTTAGTTTTTTTTTTTTTTTGGGGGGGGGGACGATATATTTTTTAGTTCAGGGCTCTATCAACTCTCACACGGTCCATGACAAGCAAGAAAAGGTCTTTAGGCTTTTAATTGAGGGACACGCGCATACCGTGGCAATGTTTTCTATAGTATTACTACATGTTTTCTTAAGTGCACCCATCGGTCACGGTGGCCTAGTGGTAGAGCGTTCGCTTCGTAATCGGGAGGCTTGGGTTCAATTCTCGTTCGCGGCGCCGCGTCATACCTAAGACGTAAATATAGGCAGTGACTGTTCCTTCGCCAATAGTCTCGTTCAACCAGACCCTCGGCTGTCTCCGTAAATCTCCGACCACCCACTGCTGGTCGGAGTTCACGGAGACAGCCGAGCGTCTGGTTGAACGAGACTACTTCGCCAAGCGCTCGGCACTACAAGTGAAAGTCACGTGTCTTTCGGATATGACCTTTAAAATGTAGGTCCCGTGTCACGTTAGGTATTGGCACGATAAAGAACCCTCACTCCTCAATGGCCCCTAGTGCTGAGTATAAGTCTAAATTTGAAGCCCTTCACCGCATCCGGTGACGTCTCCATGTGAGTGAAAAATTCTCGAAATGGACGTTAAACAATACACAATCAATCAATCAATCTTTAGCGACCCGGTTTTTACGGGCAAAGTTCATCCGAAATAAGAGTCAGATCAAAAAGTAAAATAGGACTTGCATAATGGCATTATGTAATAAAGAAACTGTGAAAGTATCATTAAATTTTATTCCGTGGTATAAATGCGGAGTTGCAAATAAAATGGGAGAACCCTTCATTTATTTTGTAAAGAATGGCGTTGTCCATGTTATGATACGGGACACCAAAATATATGTCGATCAAAAAGGTAAAATAGAAAGCGCACAATGGATCTATGTAAATAAGATTCTGTAAAAGGCCAATTTGATTTCATGCAATGGTATAAGAGAACTAAGTGCGGTTAAGAGATGTATGCCCAAAAGCGAAATAGACGAACGTAGATACGGATAGACATCCCCATCACTATATACCCTCCCACTTTTCAAACGGGGGGTATAAACAAGGATTTAGATTTCAGTTATTTGAGCAAATTATGAGATTGTTAAGAAATCAATTCAAATTAACAATAAAACTGCTCATAAAGAGTACTTTCCTAAAAAAAAAAAAAACATTCATTTTAGTAAACTTTGAAACTTTGATTTATTTTTAGAATAAAAACACATAATACATGTATATAAATCAATACAAAATATATTTGGAGAATGATTGGGCGGGGAAAAGTCTGATTGCATTGAGAGAGAGAGAGAGAGAGAGAGAGAGAGAGAGAGAGAGAGAGAGAGAGAGAGAGAGAGAAAGCCATCGAATGGTGTTAACTTTTACATAGTTTAAGGAGTGCGTGTGTTTTTAGAAAACCTGGTCCCCGGAAAGATAATATTTTTGTCCTGCTTAAATGTTGATAAAGTCAAGCAGTCAAAAATTTAAATATTTTTATTGCTTCACAAAATTATTATTTTCTGCAAATTTAGAGAATAATTAAAAATTATTTAATAAACATTTTGCAGGCGATTGAATATTTGACTTAAGTCTAAGTCTATTTCATGATCCTGGGGCCTGTGGAACAGGTATTCAATATACATGTATACAGCAACCAATATAACAAACACGGGGTAAATACGTATTAGATTGATACACGTTTTGTTATAACTTCAGTTAATATATAACTTAATTCACAAAGTTTTCCAAAAAAAAATCTGACGTAGAGTTCTTACAAATCTCTTCTACAGGCATGACCTTGCCATTGCAAATGAATATTAAATATCAATAAAAATGAAATTAACACATGTATTTGGGCTTATATCAACAAAGTTGGAGCAAAAAATTGCTTTGGTATGGTGACTCTCTAGCTACTAGTACTGGCTCCTGGTTCTTAATCCTTTTAAAACTTTTTGGACTCTTTCATAAATTACATTTTAAAGTTAATCTTCAGTATCACTGAAGGATACTCTGTATTCTCATAAGTGATGCATGTTTTATTTTATTTACTGATACTTGTGAGAGTGACTGTTGATACGCGTGTAGAGCTGCGTTTGGATTCCCTGTGACCTGGTAACAGATCCCTAGGATCTGCCATGATATGCTTTCTACTCCTTTCTTTATGAACACCTCTTGAGGATGCTGGACTAGGTGCTGAAGATAACATAGCGCTGTTTCTACTTTTGTTGTATCAACATGACTGTAGCACAGGATCTCTAGCATATACAAGAGTACAAATACGGGGATAGCCAAATTAACCTCGCTTTCCTGTAAACAAGACAGTTGTTCAGGCAATAATTCATTGATATAACAGATATAATTGTTAAGTTTGATAATCCGTCTCGTAAAGAACCTCATTTTTGAAGTCAAGGACCACCCTCTCATAGCCTCGGAATACATATCTGTATTACTAAACATATTCATTCTATATGATATTATGGCTTTTGTCATTTCTAAAACAAACAATGCGTCCTTAAATCTCATTGTCTTGTAGTAATACATGGCTATATATACCATATCCGAAGTGCAACCAAACTTGGTTGTTAATTTCAGTAGGCGATGGGACATTCTCTCAGCAATATACACCATTTTGTTTCGATAACTTTTGATGTATATGTTGTTTAAAATAAAGGCAATTTCATGGAGGATTAAGGTTGTGTGTTTCTGTAAAGCGACAACATGATATGGCGTCAAGGGTGTATTTAACAACTGTTCTACAGCTCTTAGGCATTTCATACAGTGATACAGGTTTGTTATTTCTGGTACAGATTTACAAATTATACAGTTGAATAGGGATAAATCAAACTCATACTCGGAGAACAAGTAGCCTTCATCTGTACAAATGGAGAGTCCTGGATTATTAAGGACTTTTAAAACATAAGGCCAGATAGAAGGACTGTGTAGCAGTGATATCAAACCCTTCTCATACAAGGCATGCAGCCTATTAAACAATTGGTTTTGTTTATCACCATGGATACTACTCAAAAACATGTTGTTTTGTGGAATGAAAAAGTTAGGGCAGATCCCTTCATAAACCCATTTAACGATCAGTTTGAAGCACTCCCAAAAACATAATAGGAGGTTTTGTGGACACCAATGAGGTACACTATTTCCTTGAATCACCCAGAAAACGGCTGTCTTCATGTGGTAGGAACATAGTAGTTTATAATCTTTTCCTAATCCATTGTTAATGACTTCCTTTAAAATTAACTTCAGCAAACCATAAGTTAAGAACTGAGTGTGATTCATTGAGTACACAAGTATTTGTTCTGCCCGTGAGAAAGAAATTCTCCATTCATGGTTTTCATGATTGCTTAGTTTGTGTCCAGTTGCTACAAAGTGACATCCACCTCTGATTATGTCGCACACAACTCGAGGCTGGGGCCATGAGTGACATCTGTCTATCCAAGAGGCAGCAGTTGGAGGCCAAAAGTCAGAGGCAAAACAGTGGGCATCATCAAATTCTAATCCAGCAACAAATCCACTGGCGCATGGTCCATGTGGTTTAAAGCTCGGCATTAGTGTTTGACACATGGTTTGTCTGTATAGAGAACTAGATATAAAAAGGTTACCGTTCCTTTTGAAAAGTGATGAAACAAGATCCAGACGCACTGTTCCTATAATGCCTGACGATGTTCTTATGCTGCCTGCTGGAATCAAAAACTGAAGTAAAGAGAATCCTGGAGGACTATGGGAACAGTCACAGAGAATTAATGTGTATCTGTGCCTATTGTAATACTGAGTCTGAGATAAGTTCCAGATGACTCGTTCAAAAGTGTCCCAGTACATACTGTCTATGTCTGATCCCTTCAGTCTGAATCCTTCTCTGTGGCTTCCACTATTCATTACAGAGTTTGATTCACTATTCCAGACTTGATTTGTCAATATCTCCGTGATGTCCATCACATCTCTCCTCGTGGCCACCTGTTGTGTGGTCCCCACTATGTTACACAGTCCAACAAACACCGACTCTGACATATGTTGTATGGCTGATTCACTAAATATCCAAAACCCAAAAGGTAAATTAAAACAATTTTTTTAAAAAAAAAATACCCAAAATAAATTCCACTTAATATCAAGATAAAACGTTAACATATATATACTTTGTTGATTATGGATGTAGTAAGCTAATACATTTCTGTAAATAATAAAAGAAAAACTTACACAAGAGATTGTGCATTTGAATCCATTTTTCAGACAAGACTAATAAAAAAAGTTTTGTACTTTGACTTTTGTATTTTACCAGGAAATCCTGCGGAATTTTCACATGCCTTCTGTGTTAATGCTTAAAATTCATTATTCAGTGATAATGACATAAATGGAAATTTTCCAAATCATCATAATTCAAAGAAGGAAGTGTACATGATACGTTCATTGTATGTCACACACATAAATGTTCAATTACCACCAGAGTATTAACTGGAAAACAGTAAAATGATTGAAAATTTTCTAAATTTATCTAGTATTTTATCTTGAAAATTGTAATTCTCAGTTTCATAGAATTTACTACACAATCTTCTGATGAAGAAGACAGCAAACATATCTTTCCATGTTTTTTAATTTGGAAGATTATTTATGTTTATTATTATGACGATTAATACTAATGTGAAGCTTTTGTTTAAGGATATCCGATTCTCAGCCAGGGAGGATAACTTCAAAAATTAATATTTAATTTGAAATGCATCAAAATGAAGCTTGAAAATGAAATTTTTACATGCAACAATTTTCATTTTATTCATCTTTATAAGATTCAAGGTTTTGGAAGTCTTAGAAAAGGACTTTTAAAAGTTGACATTTGTATCCTATAAAAGGGGAAAAAATCAATAAAGTTTTAGAGAAATAAGATTTTCGTGAATCCAACCTTAGATACCAATGCTTATTAGCATGATATGAAATAAGAAGTGATTTGTGGTGACTTGCAATGATAGGAAAAGCATTTTACACTATGTATTATAGAATACATGACGGAAATAGAAGACAAAAATACCAAATAAGTATAAAACTCATGACAATTTCTCTGAATGGCTGGATAGCTATCGTTTTTTAACCTAAAATATATCTGTGGATGAATTTGCAATTAGAAAATGCATTTCTTATATTCCAATTCGCTATTTCTGCCAAATATTGGAGATTTGACAATTTTCCCTATGTAATATGACTAACTTTAATCTTTAACTTTAAAGAAATACTGTGGATAAATTTACATGACTTTGTGGATTCAGAGATACTTTTTTGAGTATTTTTGATTACCTAACTGCTAATTTTATAAACCTGAGGATCGGACTACCTTGATGCAAATTTTCATAGTTATGGGGAGATTTTTTAAAATGAAATATAATACACTTATTTCTTAACTACGAGGGGAACAGTCAAACTTTTGTCCCTAGGTAATGGAGAAGACCTGGGAAACTATTGCCCGACGCCAAAATTTCTGGATTTCTAAAACATGGTGTCAAAAGTGTAATTGTCACAAATCACGTCCAAACATGGTTTCGTGTATTTATCATAATTTTTTGCAATGTAAACAACTAACTTATAAATAAATGTCATAACTGTGTTCCATTACATTTTTTTGGTCTGTAGAATGTACTTGGTGGGTTTAAATCTCCTGCCGTTTAGTACACTTTGGGTGTAGCAAGAGAGCACAACAGATGACCTTGACTTCTTCAAGTTTTTACTGTAATATTCTTCATAAAGATAAAGTATAATTGACCAGACTTTCACATTTCTTCTGAGGTAAGTTTGTTTTACTAATTTTATACACTTTCCCGAAATGGCAAAGGACCTTACTTCTTGATTTCGATGTAAATTACTCAGTAAGTGACTGAGTAATATGTGCATTGTTGCCGGTGTACGAGGGTTGTTCGAAAAGTTCGTGGACTGATGCATGTAGTTTATGCTAACAAAATTATTATGGAACATAAAACAACAAAAGTTAAAGAAATGCTTAAAATTTTATCATATTAACTTTGAATATTTACTAAATTATCATAAATTTAAAAAAAAATATATGATCACCCGGCGCTCTCGCCATTTAGATTCATAACGTCATTGTTTCTCAATGTCTGCATTATCCACCTTTCACTCTTCTCTTGATGAGATTCCTTGGAGTTAAGAAAAAGATTCAATCCCGTCTTGTCTGTATGATTTAACAATGTCATGAACAGTAGATTTTAATTCATATAATATTGTAAATAGATCTTTACATACTGAAATATCCTCACTTGATAATATTTACATCTGAACATTTTCCCTTTATTTCTTATGAAGACCATTGCCATTAATCAGTACATGAACAACACTGAGCAAGCAACGTGTGTAGTTTTCTTGAACAATGGCTGTTCCATCAGTTTCACATACAATTACATATTCATCTTAAAGCAATAGTTAAAGACCCAATTTTTTTACCGTACGGTTACCTGAGGAGGGGGAGTGGTCCAAGTAACAGTGGTGTTATTTACCTGGAGACCCCCAATACCCAAGATGTCAAAAATCTATATACACGTAACAGTACACAGGAAGTCTGTGTCTGGTGATCAGGGTCAACATTCCGTGTTTCGAGTCTAAATTTGAGTGAAACTACTTGAAATAATTGAAATATTGCAATATAAATTTATTTATGAATACTTTCAGCGATATCTAATGAAGAAAAAAATTATAAAGAAACATCGTTTTTATATTTTTTTAAAAAAATGACAAATTAAAGAAAAGAACACAGAATAAATAAAACTACAAAGTAAACATATCTTTTTTTTAATTAAACTCATAAATATCAAAATAAAAAAAAAAGATAAAATATTCCATTCATAGGTAGGCCTATCCGTCGTGTGAACATGTGTATACAATGTACCGTACCGCGATAGGAATATTGCCTTCGTTCTGATCAACAATAGTGTCGAAAATATTCACCATTTCCAGGTGTTCGTGTGTTTAAAATTTTTTTTTATTGTTTGCAAGATTTCTTTTATACTTTTAAGAATTGATCTTTGGCTGTATATATTCACTTTTTAATTTCGAATATTGGGTATTGACAGATGTTAGGAAATTCGAACTAAAAGTTACAATCTCGAAACTCCTAGCTGTTTCTGACATTTCAGAACTTTGCAACGGAACATGGTATAGATTGTATTCTTATATACGTAGATGAAACATGGGATAAATGAACTTTTTATCCGTGCTGTTTGTGCTGAATATCTTATATTTATATAATAGTGTTGCATTATGCATGTACTATGCCTAAATAGTAGGCAGGGTTTGACACATGGTGCACGAGCCGGAGGCTCTTTTATTAAAATTTTAAACGAGAGAGTCAAACCTCCAGGTTAACATCAATGTAAACATATATGGAAATACTTGATTATAAGCACACTTTGTATATATGTTATATGTTATGCTCACGCATGTATGTATATATGTTATAATAATATGTATTGATCTCTGTGTTGTTAAATAACAACCAAAGAGATGTTAATAAACTGGTAAACTGGTGACCAGGCAATCGTTTCCAAAGGACACAAACTCAGATTATCAAGTAGCATAGGTAGCTGGCCTGTCAATCAAACCAGAAGCTATTTTTTTTAATGATTGACAGGCGGTATATTATTGATCTTGAATCAGGTAGATTTTGGTGGTGATAACGTAAAATTGGGTGTTTAACAAATTTTATTTTACTTTGAATGTTTTTGATACAGATGTAAATATAAACAATAAAATGTTTTCTTTGGTTGTTAGAGCGGGAATTAACGTAGCAGCAATTGCAGAAAAAAAAATACATAACTCGCTTACGCGGGGGTATGTATTTTTTTTTTTTGCAATAGCTGCAACATTAATTCTTGAACTAACAACCAAAGAAAGCATTTAATTTAAACAATAAAATGCTTTCTTTGGTTGTTAATACGGAAATGAATGTCGCAGCTGTTGCAGAAAAAACACATAACCCGCGTAAGCGTAAACTAACAACCAAAGAAAGCATTTTGTTGTTTATATTTATATATGTTAAAATAATCATTTAAAGTAGCATTAAAAATATTAATTATTGTATTAATTATGCGAACGTCTTTGTACGTTTCATTGATGGAACAGCCACTGATCACAAAATCTGTACAGGTGACATGCCTGGTGTAGTTCTTGCACGGATTACTGCATTGGACTTTTTTAAGAAATAAAGGAGAAAAAATTCAGTGGATGTAAATATTCTTTAAATAACAGCATATTTGATTGTTGGAGTTCAATGTCTATCTCACAGTATGATTAGCATCACTTTTTGACGTTAAAAAACTTTGATGACAATTACTACAAATCGACATTTACAATACATCTCACGTTTCTCTAATCTTTTTCGGCTTTTAAAATACATCCTGAATGCATTTTATATATTTCCTAGGTTTATGTCTGTTGTTCCACGGGGTTAAACATTATAGAAAGTTGGAAAAAGAGAGCAAGGCTCTTTCTGATGTAATTATAACTCCTTAATTGTTTGGACATTTAATATAAAATTTACGATAAAATTTAATAGAACGTACAGAATGGGGGTTAAAATTGCAAATTTTACGGTACAATTGTGTTATACCAAATGGGTGTATTAACGGAATTTTTGGGTGACAAATTGCTTATATCAAAAAAGAGTGTTTTCTCAGTTACACTTATTAGAACGCAATTGAGTTGAGGCTATGGGGATTTCTATGCAAATGAGCTAATAAAAATGCATAAATTGTTTATTTTATATACAAAGAAAGTTCAAATCGATTTCCTTATTGATACTTAGTGCCCACAACATATTATAGCTAGTACACATTATGACGTCATATTATGATTCTCATTGTTCTTCCCATTCAAGGTAATAAAACACATAAACAAAACAACGTCGGCGCAAGGGCATATCCTATTTAATTTAAAAATAATAATGTATAAAATTAAGAATATGCTAAAGATTAATAAAATTGCTGCACAAATCATCTGCACTTTGCAATTGATAAAAGAAAAATTAGGAAACTTACACTGGACTGTGAATTTTTACCCTGTTTCAACTTAAGACTCTAGAAATTGAAACTAAACAATTGCAGTGTGGACATTTGTGCAGCAATATCTTGAATCCTTGGAATATCCTGCGACTATCTATACCTTGTTTCTGTAAAACAAAGTAGGGTATGCCATTGCGCCGAAGTGATTTAGTTTATGTTTCTTATTAACTTGTGTAGTAAGGATCGATGACGTTATAAAACACACCGGTTACAACATGAAATATTTATTAAACTGACTTTCGGTCATCCCGATACAAAACAAGTCGTACATAAAACATTCGTAATATATATATGACATCCCCCTTTTTATAGATAAAGGACAATCAGACAAATTCAAAACTGATGTACATAGTGACTGACTGACTAGAAGTTAATGATAATGACTAGAGCTTTAAATTCACAGTGTTTGTAAATGAACGTCAATAGCTGTAAATAAAGAAATGTCAAATTATCAAAATTGAAATAGTTCCACAACTGTTTTATAAAACAACATTATCAACACATTTTGCACATGCAATAAAAATACTGAATTCTACAATGACAAATCTAATATTATGCTGCATGCATCACAAACTAAAATTCTGAACAATTTGTATTGATCATTTCACAAAATCCTTGAATTTGGATGGACACACCACATTCCTCCCGGATCTAGTGCAGATGGTACTCGGGACGGATGTTGTCGGATTGGACGGTTCAACTTCCTGAGACGGTTTCTCGATAGCGGTTTGTCCAGCATTCGATTGGAACGGTTCATTGGATTTCTCTGACGGAGGAGGAAGAATCGGTTCATCAACTTCAGGTTTGTCTGGGAACGTCGCGGAGGTTGGTCTGATATGACGTCTGTTTCGTCGGTACCGTTTTCCGGACTGCGCTTGGAGAACATAGGATCTTGGAGAGCTGTGCTGTTGCACGACTACGGCGGGAGTCCATTTGTTGTCGTGTCGCATAACTGTGGTTTCTCCAGGATAGAGATCCCTCAATTCCTTTCCAGCATGAGCATCGTAGTATAGTTTTTGTTTGTATTTGCGAAATTTCAGGCGGTCTTGAACGTCGTGCAGGCCAACAGAGTTTGGTTCCAACAGAGGTGATGCTACAGGTAAGTCGGTTCTTAGACGTCTGTTGAAGAATAGTTGTGCCGGAGACTTTCCTAGCATGTCGATGGCAGTATTTCTGTATGCCAGTATGGCTTTGTATGGATCAGTCGACTTCCGCAACAGTTGTTTTACTGTTTGGACAGTACGTTCTATCTGCCCATTCGCCTGAGGGAAGTGCGGGCTTGTTGTCTTGTGCACAAAACCATAGTCTTTAGCAAATTCTCGGAAATTTGCAGAAGCGAACTGCGGTCCGTTGTCAGATATCAACTTGTCTGGTATCCCGTTGCGAGAAAAAATACCTTTCAGGTGTAGGATGGTGTTGTCGCTGGTTTGGTTTTCCAGTTTTGCAAATTCGGGCCATTTTGAGAAATGATCAACACAGACTAAGTATGCATGTCCCTTGAAATCAAATAAATCAGTTGATATGATGGACCATGGACGAGATGGTGTTTCTGTCTCTAGCATTGGTTCTTTGGGGTTTGATTTGCTGTTCAATGCACAAATTGAGCATCTTTCAACTACCTCTTGAATTGATGATGTCATTCCTGGCCAGTATAATGTTTCTCTAGCTCTACTTTTGCATTTTACTGTTCCAAGATGCGAGCTATGTATACGATCAAGCATTTCTTTGCGTAGTGTTGATGGCACAATGATTTTGTGTCCCTTAAACATCAACCCATCGATGCATGTAATCTCGTCTCTGAATGGCCAGTAAGGGTAGGTTGAGTTTGGTATGCTATCTTTGGTGTTGGGCCATCCCGACTTTACAACGGTCTGTAAAGTTTGCAGTTCTGGGTCGTCATGAGTAGCTTGCTGAAAGCGTTCATACTGTTCTGGAGACATTGGTAAGTAACTGATTGAGTTGATCTCAATGTCGGGCATAAGCTGTTCCTTTGTTTCATTCATGAAGGCTCGGCTGAGGGTGTCCGCAATGAACATAATCTTGCCAGGTTTGTAAGTAACTTCTATGTCATAACGCTGTAGCGTGAGCAGAAGTGACTGTAGTCGAGCAGGTGCTTGGTAAAGCGGTTTACGAAATATTGATTGGAGTGGCTTATGATCACTTTCCACCAATACGTGACGACCAAATACATATTGATGAAATTTTGTACATCCGTACGCAATGGCCAACGCCTCTTTTTCAATCTGGGCGTAATTTTGTTGGCTTTTTGTTAAAGCACGTGATGCGTAGGCAATAGGCTGACCTTCTTGTATGAGTGCTGCACCGAGTCCCATAGAGCTTGCGTCAACTGTTAGTACAAGTGGTTTCTTTGGGTCGTAATAGCGCAAGACGGGTGTGTTGCTCACAAGGTGCTTCAAGGTCTGGAAGCTGTCTTCCTGTGGTTTCTCCCAGTGGAAGAGAATGTCCTTTTCCAGGAGCGATCGGAGTGGTGCTCTCGCTTCAGACAGGTTTGGTAGGAACTTTCCAAGGTACTGTATAAATCCTAGGAATGTCTGTAGTTCGGATACATTCTGAGGCGCAGGCACGTCTTTCACAGCGCGAATCTTCTCAGGGTCTGGCTGGATCCCTGCAGAGGTAAACACGTGACCTACATACGCAATGTGGTCTTTTCTGAACTGGCACTTCTCTGGACTCAGTTTTAAGTTGTAGTCACGAATTCGGTTCATGACAGCTTTCAATCTTTGGTCATGCTGCTGCCTGTCTTTACCCCAGATCAAAATGTCATCTATGATCGCTTCACATCCCTCCAGGTCTCTGACCATCTCTGAGATTGTGCGTTGGTAGATTTCTGACGCTGAGCTGATACCAAATGGTAGCCTCGTGAATCTGTAGCGTCCATATGGGCTATTGAAGGTGCAGAGCTTTGAACTCTCTTCTGTGAGTCCAATTTGCCAAAAGCCGGATGTGGCGTCAAGTTTCGAAAACATCTTTGCTTCAGTAATCTGCTGTGTGACATCTTCTATTGTCTTAAGAGGATAATGTTCTCTGCGGATCGCTTTGTTGAGATCTTTGGGGTCTATACAAATGCGTAGTTTTCCATTCGGTTTCTGGACGGTAACCATAGAGTTGACCCATGCTGTAGGTTCTTTCTGTGGAACGATAACACCCGATTGTTCCATGCGATCAAGTTCATCTTTGATCTTGTCACGGAGCGCAATTGGTACACGCCGAGGTGGGTGAATTACTGCAGGTATCGACGGGTCAATCTTGATGTCCTGCTTTACTGGCAAGAGTCCTAGACCCTTAAACACATCTCCATACTCTGACTGAATGTCTTTAGGAATGTTCATTGTTTCTACATGGTCAAGTTTGTAGGCTCGTTTTACAAGTCCCATTATTGAACAAGACACAGATCCAAGAATAGGTTCTGAAGGTAAGTCAACAACTTCAAATGCAATGTCACTTGCGCGATCTTGATATTTACACTGCAGTACAATATTACCAACAGGTTTGACTCTGTGTCCGCTGTATGACTTCAGATTTGTTTTCGACGCAGACAGTTGGTCACAATTCAGTCCTAGCTCCTCAAGTGTTGTCAACGGTAACACATTGCATTTTGCGCCTGTGTCCAATTGGAATCGAGTGGTTTTGTCGTTGATTTCAATGGCTTCACTCCATTCTGTATCCACCATGTTAACGTCGGCTGTTATATAACCAAGATATAACTCTTCACACGAGTCATTTTCACTATCGGAAGTACAAGTGTCAACGGCATTCACACGTTTGGCTTTTGAATGGCATTTTCTCGCAAAGTGATCTGAATGACCACATTTATGGCATTTGTTTCCCTTGGCAGGACACACTGAGGTATTGTGTTCATATCCGCATCGCGAACATTCATTTGTCTGTGGAAGTTTGTTATGATGCCATTTTTTTTTTTTAATATTGATTTCTGTTTGTGTGAGCTTTCTTGCGTGGATTAGCAAATTGTTGCGCAGATTTTGGTTGCTCGGAATGCGACTTCTTGTGAATGACATGTACAGATGCATCTTCTCCCGAGATCTGTCTCGCTTGAGTCGTTGATTGTTCATGCAGACGTGCTATGTCGAGTGCTTTTTGCAAGGTTAAGTCCGATCCTACGTTTATAAGTTTCTCTCGTATCTTGTGTGTTCTCACACCTATTACTATTCTGTCTCTAACCATTTCTTCACTTTTCTCATACGTGCAATCTTTGACTAGCAATTTTAATTCAGTAACAAATTGATCGAATGTCTCTGTTTCTCCTTGAACTCGAGTTTGAAATCGGTACCTGTTATATATGATGTTCGTCCTCGGCTTGACATATTCCTCAAATTTCTCGTAATGTACGCTCAGTTTCTTTCGATCATCTTCGTCCAGATTCCAGGTTGCAAAGATATTTCTGCCTTTGTTTCCAACCCATATCATTAAATACGCACATTTCTCACTTTCTGTTTTCGACTTGAGCGGTCCGGTGAAGACAAATTCTGCATGTTGTTTAAATTCTTTCCATGACCCTTCGAGGTCATTACTTTCCCAGTTCATGTTTGGGTGAGATCCCATTAGACTTTCCATCGTCCTTTTTAGAGATGATGGGCTGTGGATGGTGGTGATTTTGTTAGATCACTTCTGACACCATATAAAACACACCGGTTACAACATGAAATATTTATTAAACTGACTTCCGGTCATCCCGATACAAAACAAGTCGTACATAAAACATTCGTAATATATATATGACAGACGTCGTAAAATGACGTCATAATGTAAACTGGCTATTGCATATCGAGGGTACCAAGAATGTTTAAGAAAACAAGTCTTAACTTTTTCAGCGTGGTAGGTATAGCCATTATGGGTTTTACTAAGATTTTAGTATAAAAAACGTAGCCTTAACTCACTTGCGAAAGAAAAAAACGTAATTTTTGTGGTTGCGCTGCCTGAACATACCATTGCTTTCAAAGACATCAACAATTTATTTAAAAAAAGATATCAATAACAATCTCATGATGTATAGTTTATTGAATAAATAAAAAAAGATTATGCTTAAAAAATTCATTGATGTATCCTAAGAGGTTTTAAATTTATGGCGTTAGTCCCGAGACTTTCCGACCAACCCTCGTACTATATGCGCGGCGGATGTATATGTAGTTGTGTTAGAATGTGCACATGGGGAATTCAAGCGTTATTTTTTTTCATTTCCCCGCTGAAATAATTCTTTATTGATAACAAACATAAAAGTCCTTAGTAAAAGTTTTAGGAAATGGCTTTAGGCTTTGTCTAATAGTTGTTATTAGATTCAATTTGTGTTTCATCTCTCATCAGATATTCACTGATTTATGATTTTATAAAAAGTTGTTACATGCATGAACTGCTCCCCAAGATTGGCGTGCATGATATATAGAAACAAAACGTATTGAGTTTCCGGATATGAATTGCAGTGCCTAAAAAAGATTGAGGATATCTGGTACCACTTGGAGGGTGGCGGACGAGAATTAATTCTGCATTAATGCGTACGAGTTATCTCGCGTCACAACGGTGACATACATGAAATCCTACCCGCATTGAAAAGTTCCACCTAAATCGTTCTCTAAGACTTTTTAATGTTTATCATTAAGACAATTATGTAAAAAAAAATGTAATAATTAAAAGAGGGGAAATGGGAGGGGGTAATCAGACAAAAACAATCTACTATTAAATCTGAAAAAAAAAACTTCACAAGCAAGGAAAAAATATTGATTTATTACATGTCTCTTTATATATTAACGTTGAATAGTGCTTGTAGATGCACAGAAAATGTGATGATAAGTTTGTCTGTGTAACGTCCATCTTGAGAATTTTTCATTCATACGCAGACGCCGTCATTTGCCTGTGAAGACCTGCAAATTTGACCTTGACTCTGAGAGCTATTGATACTTTTGGCCATGATTTCTTTTCGTTTTCCTTTAATCAGGAATGGGGTCAATTACATAGAAAAGTAATTAATTAAATTACAATTACTTTTCCAAAACCTTCAATTAAATTACCATTACCATTACATGGATTTTGAAATGTAATTAATTAAATTACAATTACTGTGCAAATGTAATTAATTAAATTACAAATTACATTTAAGAATACACCTATAAAAGTAAATAGCCATGTACACTCCTTTATATTTATAACTTTACAGATTATTTTACAACATTTTTTAGAATAGTATATTAATCTATATCTACTAGATTTGAAGATTTCCCTGCTGCGCTGAAGATTTTTTTTCTGCAAATGGGGTATTTGTGAGAGGAATGCTTAATGTAAATACTGACCAGTAGAAAGTTTAATCAAAGTTTTTCCTTGATTAGTGTGTTAAAAATTTGGAATATTATTTAGCTTTCCCATATATTTATGATAAACGTACAATTGATGCTGTTTGCCTTAATATTTCCTTATTTCAGCATCATAAGCTATTCCTCAAAATGTTGGTATTTGACTTATTATGTGCCAAACTTCAATTTCAAATTTAAGTCAAAGTGTGTGTATAATAATACCAACAAACAAAGTCAAAATGTGTGAAAATGTTTATTTAGGAATAAGGACATGACCCCAGGGCACTAATTGCAGCCCGGAGGACCGGGCTGCTCCATACATATAAGTTTAAGTGTTGGTATGTGGGGATTGAGGTGGGAGAAGTTATTCAGAATTTAAAGTTTTCTAAACTTTAAAAAGATTGTTAATCAGAATGGTCTTTCCCTTTATAAATTAAGAGATACAAAATATATTTACTTCCATAAAGTGAATTTGTAAAAATGTATATGTTTTTGATATTTAATGTATAAAGTTTCTTATCAATTGCTATCGAAAAAACGACAGGCCCCTTATTTTAGAACATCGAATTTTACTTATCTCATAAAAAACGTACTCTACACAGTTCGTGTTTTATATTCTTAAAGTGAAATACATTTTTGAAAATAGGCGATGCAAAAGTTTCAATTTATATTTTATGCAGTCAATATTTACTTGAGGAAGTAATAAAGTTTGAAAAGGGTATCGCTTTTGTTCGATTTTCATCCGACTATACGATTTCGAAATATTCTTGACTATCGTCTGCATCATTAGACGCTAGCCTGTTTCACATATATCGAAGCGGTTTGATGATCAAGACTCATTTCCATTGTTTACTTTATTTATTTATTTCCCGGGCAACAATAAATGGGTACATCAATGTTTTCTTGTTAGCACCTGTTGATAACTTGTAACAACACAAGCTGAAGATATGATTAAATTATTTTCAAGAATCTTAATAACTACAGTGTATTAAAATATTTGGTCCAAAAGATCAGTTAACCTTTCTTAAATAATGTTTATGAGATGGAGGGTGAGGGGACTATTTTTCATTTATTTAGAATCAGTGTAATTGAATGTAATTGAAAAGTAATTGTGAATTACATGCATTTTTGGAAAGTAATTGATTAAATTACAATTACTTGTAATTGAAAATTTTGGCCAATTACTAATTACTTTCAATTACATGGAAATTAATTACAGTCAATTACCATTACACATAACCATTACCCAATACCTTGTTTTCCTCAGCTTTTTCATAGTAGTTTCATATTTGGGTCCCCCTTTTGAATATTTACATTATAATGGATCTCGTCAATGTTCTTCTCTGGTCATTTATCAATTGCAAAAATTATTTTGCTAAAAACACCCTGATTGTACGCACGAGGACTCTCAATTCGACATCAAAAAAATGCTTGAACTTCTGATTCACAATATCTATGGGGGTTTTCAGAGACTATGTTTCAACAATCAATCTGGAATTCCCATGGATATCAAATGGACCCCGTTATAAGCGGTAGCAGGTCTATTTTTGTATCCATATGAAGCAGAATCTGTCCATAATTTTAGATAAAAAAAGAAGAAACTCACTTGCTGTGGCCTTCAACTCGACATTAAGATACGTAGACGACGCATTTTCAATTAACAATGGTAATTTCAATTCGTATGTCGATACGATATATCCTGGTGAGCTTGAGATAAAAGATACCTCGGAGTCTGACACATCTGTTTCATATTTGGATATTTTACTTGAAAATGACGTTAATGGTTATCTAACAACCAAGCTATATGAAAAACGTGATGACTTTAACTTTTCATGGTCGTATTCCCTTACTTATACAGCAATATTTACATTTGTAAATATCTTTCTTAGATGAACCTATTGAAGAGAAAATATGTTCAATTCTGTGTGAATGTTATTTGAGGGTCAGAGGTCATAGCACGACCGAATCACAGAGCGAGGTGATATTTTGTCAACAGTACAACTTGTTTGGGAATATTTCTTAGTTAATAACGATGAAAAAATATACAATATGGATATTTTTCAATTACGAGAAGTTCAATAAATCTTTTGATGTGAATAAGGTTTGAAATACTATAATATTAGCCTAAAACCGCACATACCCTTTTAACCCGAAATTCCTTTGGAGTTATGTAAACTAAAACAGGCGATACCACAGCTTTTGAATTTAAATATTGTAAGAATTTATATAACAGTTAGATTATTCTCAGCAGCGATCATTGTTCTTTCACTATAAACAGATATTTCCTTAATATCTTGACTGCTAAAAATGAATGTAAACATTTAAATGTTGGAGCAAGATAAACTAACTTTGACCAAACAACTTCTAGGTCA